ACGCCATATGAGTGTGACTTCAGGTTTGTTCGTTCGGCGAACAAAAATTATTTGCAAAAATAAGTTTTTGTAAGAAATGGCCCATATTTTGATACATAATAACAGGCACTTCCAAGAGACATACCTACTTACTTATAAGGCTCTTTTGAGAAATTCGCTCGAAACATCCGGCAGAAACCTTTCGAGGAATGCCTAGGGCTGCCATCCGTCCAGGATTCCCCGGATTTGTCCTAGTTTAGAGGGTGTCAGGATGCCATACGGGAGGGGGTTTTAAAAAGTGTCGGACATTTTTTGTGTCTGGAGAATCTTGTGAAGTGTAAAATGCATGATCAACAAGATATAATGTTGTACATCCCAGTACAACGACTTGCATCACTTCGGTTCAACAACTCGCATCACGCAAGCACATTCGCACCTCCGTGTAAGGCCAGCCAGGCGACGCCCTCGCAGTGCGCATGCGCTGACAGACAACCTGGTGCGACGATTTCGTTTTATCTGGCACGGATCCGGTGAAGAAGTGAATATCTGGTGTCTGGTGAATCATTAACACATTAACATCTGAGCATTCAACACGGTCAGTCAGCTCGTGCATCCGGCGACCGATCACGCATTCGATGAACAAAGAGTAATCTCACTGAACGCAGCGAATTAGCTGGTATAACTTTAGCCGCAAAGAAAGCTGCCTCAGAAATGCTACAGGCAAAACTATTATGATCTGCACGGACAGAAGGCAAGCAATACTGATTCTCAGGTGTTGTAAGCTTACGAGAACAGCACTAGACTGCCACTTGACACTTGTGAGTGCTTCCACTAGTAATAACGTAACTGTTGCCTGAATGAGGGGTATTTCACAATTCAAGGGTAATATTATAGCCGATAGACGGCAAAAAGGTCTGCCGAAACCAGAATTTTAAGTCAGTACCCCTCTGTGTTCTACCCATTGGAGCCATTACAGCTATGCTAAAAGAGCATGTGCTCAGATATCCTAGTGAGGAAGCAGCAAAAAACTACCTGCCTTTGTCCAGACAACAGCAGGTAATGAAGCATCTCTATAACATGAATCTGAGTGACACATCCATATGCGTAAGGGAAACTCCCCTGGGTCACATCACCACCTTTTTCAATAGTCTGGAGTGGGCTCAAGCACACACCGCTTCTTCTCTAGTCAAAATTAGATATAATTCCAAGGAACTGAGTTACTCCGACATTTATGAATTTTTGTTAGAAAAGGAAAACGTTTTAGTAAAATCCAAATACGTACCTAAATAAGTAAAAGAACTTGATCTCGTTGAAAATAAAATTTATTTTTTGATTTATAATTAATGACTAGTTTAAGGTTTTGGGTAACTAACCTTCCTAGCTAGATGACGTAATTTGTTTGTTTGACAAGAGTTGCTCTTATTTTTATTATACAAATATTCTATGGTAACCGGGACAAACCCTCAATTCCACCCAAATATTCGGAGTTTCTGATGCTTTCGCCCGCCGTCGGTAACTTAGATAACGTCTGTTGTAGGAATGCCTTTCGATTAATTTTTTCCAAAATTTGATGTTATAGATATCAAAACGTACAACAAAAATATCTATGGGCCTAAAATATTTCTTCATGACTAGTTACCTAGATACGGCGCCTCTAAGTTGTGCTGTCAATATCCTATTGCAGCGCATTTCCGCACACGATATGCTTGCATAGCTGGAACGTATTGCTTCAAGACATCAGCTTTAAATGCTGTTCAGGATAATCCTGCACTCCTGCACTGTCCCTGTGGTCATACATTCAAGAAATATTCACGATAATAATGTATCTTCGATTAATGATCTGAATAACAAAGTTGCTTTTTTAAAAGCTTTTGTTTAACTTGACTTGTTTGCATGTATCGGACAAGTCTTGTAACTGAATTTTGAACCAGTTAACCTTGACCAACCAGGCTGAAATCCTGTACGCACGTTTGGTTGGCTTGACAGTACAAAATCAATTATCTGACGCCGCTTTGAATCCAACATGGCGGACACAATAAAATGGCGATTCATCATTCCCATAGTAATCACTACGGTATGAGTATCGAATGGCTTGATGGACAATAAGCATAGTGGTGTCATTCCAAATCCAATATAGCAGCCGCCGCAAAATGGCAATTAACATTTTTAAAGATGAGGTTCTATTTCGCTGTTTATATAATGAAGTAAAGTTTTAAACATAGATTTTTTGCAATCTGAAATTTTAGACTATAATGAAGCTCCTTCATCTCAAGTTTTCAAATAAAAACATGTTACGTTTCGACGTAGAGTGAAACATGAGATGATTATCATTTACATGCTTCCAATCGCAAGAAGTATTTTTTAGATTTTCAGTTCATTTTATGAACAGCTTTATGAAAGCTTGTTTCTGAAAATTTATTTTATTTATATTCTTTTTTATGTGTCCCGATTTCGTTCGAAGTTCCGTTGACTAAAAATAAGGAAGTGTTGGAACATGTTACACCCTTTCAGATTATTTCTATGAGTTTCACATTGAGTTCATTGTTCTAGTTACAGATGCAATGTGGACATGAGAATGCAAGTTTCTCTTCTTGAAGCACCTTGATTGTACCCAGTACCCACAAAGACAACATTGGCGTGTTTAGTTATATTCTGAAATACTCGTTGAGAAGTTGAGCTCCACGAAGTTCAAGAATATTGATCTACATTGCAAAAAGGACAGGTGTACTTTGAGTACTTAAAACGTAGTCGTAGTATAGTTTTTCACAATCTTAGAGTTTTTTGACGTATCCGTACGTACAACCTTGTATGGTGGTTTGTGAGGCGACTAGGTGAACAAACCTTCCGCCGGTCGAACATTCCTACGTACTGGTCATTGGTCAAGAAAAAAGAGGTGATAAGACTCAGCCTGAAGGCACGCTAAAATTGGGCACTCACAGTCAGATGGATGGATGGCAACGATTTACGTTTTCAGTCAGTAGAGGCTCAAGTCGGCATGCTGCTTGCAACTTTACACGATAAGCTGACATTTTGTTTCACATACACGGAAATAAATTGAAAAGTATCGGGCCTGATTAACGAATTACAAGACGACTGCATTGTTCGTAGTCAAAATGGTTTTGGCTAATTTGTCCTACCAAAGTGACAAACCAATACACCAACGTACATTCTTTTCTCTATGAGATGTGAACCGTTCAGTTGTTGTTAATAACCAGGATAACAAATAGGACAGATAAACGAAAGTAAATATTTATTACAGCATATGAACAACTATTTTTAATTTGTAAGACATCTTGCATGAATTCTAAACGGTTTTCGTAAATAATTGTGGTGCTCCAAGCACATTCTTGACTAAAAGCAAATAGCTAGTTAAGCATAATATAACAATTCCTACTTGTCACAATATTCAATAAAAAGGTTTGGAACTATTTAGATTAATTTGATGCTCATAATATTTTTTTTGGCGTACTCCTTCATATAATTCCATGACATTTCTAAAGTTACTACTTATAACCCGGAAGTACCTTCACTTAAAACTTTTTATTCAAAATTAAGATATAAGAAGTTAGACTTTGGCTTAGTTGCAATGAAGCTTTGATTGGCTATTTTCAGTAACCATCAAAAAATTTGGATTGTCTCCATTATTTTGCATTTACCAATGTTGTTGTTAGGTCCTCAATTCTTTTAACAAACCTCAGATTCCGACTGAGTGCTTAATTAAACAAGAAGTGAAATGAAGCAAATCAAAATTACCTCATAGGTCCAGGTAAAATCCGCAATCTGCGCCGTTGCCAACTGTCGTTGCCAGGCAACGTGGTCACGACGCTTATACGCTTATTGAAAGACAAAACCGAAAATGTAAATTTCACTGTATGTGTAAAACATACCTGTGCCTAGAATTATTGGGCTTTTGGCCTTGTCTCCGCCACTAGTGACCGATTTTCGAGATCTACAAAGCTTTCTAATCCTTGGTATAGTACTACACTGTGTGATAACATCATTAAGATCGGAGCGGTACTTTCCAGCTTATAGACGGACCAAGGATTAGGGGACAGACAGACCGATAGGTCCGTGCAGTTAGTCCATAACATCCCTTCCCTGTTCTACTCGTGATACCGTCTATTTGTCAATGCCGCGTCGCCTCTCTCCAATATCTGAAACTCTGATACATCACACATGGCAGAGCGCCAACAGATCACCAGTCGTGCAGGACACATACCAGCACCGACACACCGGCCGCGACCGTAGAAGTCAGCAGACGCTGGGACGCTTGTCGAAAGCATTTTTACATTGTTCTAAGTTTTAAGGAAAAATGTACGAAGGAATCTACGATTAGTGAAATATGCCTAGGTGCGTAGAACTAGGGGGAGTCAATATTCCTGTACTAACATTATAGCATTTCCACATACCATACCTCAAAAAAATTTTTCAAAAATGATCAGGGCCCTCTGAAACGTCAAAAACTAAAGTTTGAGAGAATTTTATTTTTCTCGTTTCTCCGGGCCAAGGATAGCGGACAGATAGACGACAGACATAGACTGACTAACGGAAACCAGTGATATGTTTTTTAGTAGGAAGGCCTGGGAAGTAAAATCGATAAGAGCTATATGATTAAGCCAAGCTGACAGTTGCTGACAGCTGACAGTTGAACTGTCGTCAGTTGTAATAACCTTCAGCAAAAGTCTTGGCAAATACTGTATCGTCTTATGTCTTATACCTTACTCGTTTTTATAACACCAAGACCATCGAAAATCTAATTAATCGTCCATATAATCTTTTCGGAACATGAATCCAGTAACTCATGTCACCCTATCATGGCGTCATCAGATCGCTTGTTTTGATGATTGAATTATGAACGTCAATCATCTATATTGCCCGCATAGGCATTCATTAACAAGCATAACTTTCGCATTTATAGCCCTCGATGTCCAGTATCATCAGCACTATGATGTGTAAGCTGCTGACCACGTATCGGTGTCGCCACAGAACGGTGCCAGTGCCATTATTGATATAACGCTGTGTCCTACGTGGACGACTCAACGCGAACGCGATTGCGAAACGATCCGATGCGAATTTAATGCGGTGCGGAGCGACGCGGCTACTCTGTCCTGTCTGCGCGCGAACCGTCCCCTCCGCGCCCTCCGCCGCCGTTCAGTTCAGTTTAGCATTTAGGTTAGGTTAGGGTAAACATTTGTCATGGACGGACGGAAGCTTATGTTGTTGGAAAATTCATATCTTAAATATGAGATATTGAAGAAGTGTATAAAGCAGAGAAGCGGAACTAATACTGTGTACTTAGAAAGCCATAGTCATGGGGAATTTCATAATTTGTACCAGGATTTACGTACTCAACCCCTGTTGTTCAAGGAATATTGTCGAATGTTACCTACTACGTTTGACTATATCTACTGTACAAGCCATTAAACCTGTTCTGCAATTTACTACAACAAATTTTCAGGAACCTATTTCTGTAGAAGAACGACTTATGGTGACTTTGAGGTAAGAAAACTATGAAATAATAAACTATGAAATAAATGTTAGAGATTACATATAATATTAATTAAGTTTAATTAGTAAGTATGTACATAATTGCAATACTTTCACAAAGATGTGTAATAGCCAGGTTGTTGAGCACTGGATTGTGGTGGGTTTAACTTTGACAGCTCCATTAGAAGAAGGTCCTGCATCTGCGTTCTAAAATGTAATTTGTTAAGTGATGGCAACTGTTTCATGTAAGGTAATATTGATTTGAACCAAAGAAGGTCGTCGTCAGTATTATCTGGTTGATCTTCGCGAAGAATTTTCATTTTTTCTCTCTCAATATCGAGAAATGCTTCGAGACTTAAATCTTTTCTTTTGCGTGTTTGCCTTGTGATAGCTGGCAACGAGGACGAAGGGGAAGGCACCAGCAACGAGGATGAAGGCGAAGGACCTGGCAACGAGGGCGAAGGTGGAAGATCTTGTCGAAGGTTGTTATCTATGGACATGTTCTGTGGTATTGCTTCTAAAATAGACGCAGATTCAGGGAGCTGGGTGTTGTCATTGTCAGATGCGTTCATGTTTAAAATCTCTTCTGGACTAGCCGCGTCTGAATACACTGACAGATCTACAGAATTGCTTTCGGAGTCTTTTGATATAATATTCCCTTCTGTTTGTCGGGGTTTCAGAACTACTTTTAAAAAGACATGGCCTCAAAATGTGGCCATGTGCCTGTATACTTCGGCTCATTATCGGCATCAGTTCCAGAACGTGGCTTAGGAATTTTTTTTAATTCTTTACTAAACGTGTCTCTCAAATTTTTCCATTTTTTCTTAGTCATTTCACCTGAAAAACGAAAAGGAATTATAACTTAATATTTTGCATTATTTCAGGTATTTGGCCACAGGTATACAATTTCGGCAACTCGCTTTCTCGTTCAGAATTTCAAAATCTGCTATTTCTACAATCGTACCACAAGTTTGCAAAGCTATATGGACTCAATTAGTTAGGAAACACATGCCCGAACCTTCAGAAGATAGCTTTAAAAACATAGCGCAATGTTTTTGGGACAGATGGCAATTTCCTAATTGCATTGGATGTATTGACGGAAAGCACATTCGCATAAAAAACCAAAACAGAAAGGTTCCATGTATTATAATTACAAACCCTTCTTTTCGATTGGGTTGTTAGCAGTCACTGACGCAAATTATAAGTTTGTAATGATAAATGTGGGTTCCTATGGAAAAGACAACGATGTCGGTGTTTTTGAAGAATGCCCATTTCGAAGAGCAATAGAACAAGGAAGACTAAAAATACCTAAAGAACAAGTATTACCGGGCTCTAATATCATAGCTCCGTATGTGCTCCTTGGAGATGCGGCGTTTCCTCTAAAGAAATACCTATTGCGTCCTTTTCCAGAGAAGTCAACGGTTAAAGGGGACGCCAAAGATAATTATAATTATCGCTTATCTCGAGCCAGAATGGTGGTGGAATGTTCTTTTGGTTCAATAACTTCTAAATTCAGAATTCTACATAAATCTATCGAAACGAATGTTACAAATGCAGTTCATATCGTCAAAGCCATATGTTTACTACACAATATTATAAGGGATCTTGAATCAATAAATGAGAATGAGTTAATGTCTTTCCGAAAAACATATCAAAATATGTCACTAACACAAAGACATAATTCTCAAAGAAGATACAATGCTACATCAGGAGCAGCCGCACAGGCAAGAGAAAACTTTAAACTGTATTTTGAGCAACATCCTTTGCCAAGAATGTAATAATAATAAAGAAATATGTTGTACTTACTTGTAGTCCCAATTATTTTAGCCACAGCCTCCCATTCGCGGTGCGATAATAACCGGTTGTGATAACTTTTATTCCTTTTGTCCCATAATGTAGGACGTTCTTGGATAGCATTAATAAGAAGTTCTACTTCCGACATTACAATTTTTGCTTGAAAAAAATATGGCCGACGCGTCCACTTCGCGCGAAAATATCAAGCCAACTGATCGCGTTCGCTTCATTTCGCGCCGCTCCGCACTGCACCCCACGTGCGTTTGGTCACGTAGGCCACTTCAATAGGTTTCGAATGTTTGTTGTTTTCGCGCCGCGCCGCGCCGCTTCGCGTTCGCGTCTAGATCGCTCACGCAGGACGTCGCCTAAGTCGGTTTTATTTCACACACAATCTTAGCTAAGCTCACCAGCTCACGTCATTCCCCAATTCATGGCACGTTCTTTTCAACAATTTTTTTTATGTCTAAAATCCACCGAAATCAAATTATGAGATTTCTAACTTTACTTACAATTATATTCTCACGGCAATCTATGCCAGCAAACTGCAAGAATGTTTAGTCTTGAGTGTAGCTACAAAATTAGTTTTAAAGAAATGTCATTTTTTAGCTCAGCTGTTCTTTTTGAACTCTGAAGTGAGCTAGACATTCACCGACTTGACAGACTCATCTCTACTTGGATTGCCTTTGCCTCACTTCACTTGCAAAACGAATGCTGTAAACTACCAGTTGGTAAAAAGAATAATCTTACAATATTTCAAAACGTTGACCCCTGACAAAAGTTCTTACTGCCCCGTAAGATCAGATATTGAAGAATAGAATAAGGACTTTTTACGAATTTTGACCTTTAGAAAAAAATTGACTGCGTATTGAAAGCCCAGTCACCACGTGACAGCTCAAGGCTAGACCATCCTGAGGAGTAGCTGTCCACAGTTGGCTGTATTTGATCAGACGGATGAAAGCAGAGCAATGGTAAGTCGCTACACAGCTAGAATCGTCGCCAACTAGTGGTCACGTGGTGACTGTGAAAAAATCAAACGCATCGTGTATGGGTCGCGGTCGCACTTGACCGCTACGAAGCTATGCCTACGTACGCGGAATTCTGTCTGCGCCTCACCACTCAGCGCACACCGATGACATGCCGTACTGGTGTATGACAGATGCCATATGACAGTTACATTCAGTAAGGCAGGCAAGCAGTTTCTAGTGTTATAGGGTCGATCTATACTATGAACCTGTTTGGCTGACTAGATCCACTTAAGTCTTTTGTTATACAGGGTGGCGCATCGAAAACGAAACAGACGCATTTACTGGCAGCTCAGTTTTTTTTTTTAAAACGCTCAGACCCGTCGATTTTGTTTTCGAGGGGTACACAAGTTTGAAAAAAAATCACGTTAGCACGTGCAACCCCTTAAGCGGGGGTGACACCACCCCTAAAATCTTAAATAGAAAGGGAGGTCGAATGATACCTTATTTTAAAGGTCTTTCAATTCCCTTTATAATGATATAAAATTAATGTACCTGAGTTCAGTAGTATTGAAGATGTATTGCTTTAAAGCTTAAATAAAACTAATACATCATCATTAGTGGAGATCAATACATTTGGCAGCAAAGTAATTTAAAAATGAAGAGTGAACTGACCCGTTAGGCAAGTAAATGTTAAAAATGGCCACCATGACTCTCCATGCAATAATAAAAATTTTGCTCAAAACGTTGCCGCATATTTTGCAATATTTGAGGAGTAATTTGAAGGTACTCATTCACAATTCTTTATCGCAGGTCTTCTAATGATGTTGGCTGAGCATAGATTTTGCCTTCTGAACGACCCCACATAAAGAAATCCAATGGTGATAAATCTGGCGATCTTGGGGGCCATTCAATGGCACCTTTTCTACCAATCCATCGATCTGGAAACGTCTAATCTAAATATTGTCGAACACGTAATGCGTAATGTGGTGGGGCACCATTCTATTGGAAAATCAACCTATTCGCAATGTACCGTCGATCATTCTGATTTTCAATTATGGCTGTTAATGCAGGATCTATGGCGTCCTCCAGTAATTCCAAATACATTTCACCGGTCAAATTTCCAGGTAAGAAAAAAGGACCAACTAAATGATCGCCAAAAATACCAGCCCAAGCATTTAATTTTTGTGGCTGCTGTGTATGAACCTCATGATAAATTCTGGGATTAGAATCGAACCAATATCGGCAGTTATGACGATTAACTACGCCATTTAAGAAAAAGGAACATTGGACGGATATGCAAGTGTTGAATAGAAAATGTTCATCGTTTATAATTCGTTTACTTATATCTTCACAAAATTGTAATCGCCGATCAAAATTGTCTTTATTAAGTTCTTGTCCCAGGTGAATTTTATACGGATGAAAACTATGGGCCTTTAGAATCCGTTGGACAGTACGTCGACTAACACCACACTCAGTCTCCAATTTGCGGGTACTTAACGTAGGATCTACATAAACTTGCCCCAAAACCCCCACTTCTATTGCTTCGTTCCTTATGGGATTTTCAATGTTGCGTTTTATATTGGCGACTGACCCAGTTTCCCGAAATTTAGCTACGAGTTCTAGAACATATTTTCGATGCACGTTACCGTTCTCATGTCGCTCATTGAATATATCTGCTGTTCTATTAGCTGATTATTTCCGAAAAATATTTCGATAATTTCAACTCTTTCTGCTGTGGAATATACCATGGTTAATTTATGTAATAAAGCGTTACAAGTTATTTTAGCAACAAAGTTTGGTCAAATCAATCGCAAACTATGTACCAAATTCAAAAATAAGTACGAGATATTTCCTTATCTTTATTCAAGAAATAACTTTTTTGCCACAAAAAACGCCCCAATAGCTATTTTCAACAACAAAATGATAAACAAACCACAGTCGTAGTCAAGAAAAGCATTTACTTATTAAGTAAATTCTTTTAATCAAATTTCTTCTGAAAGTAGTACAAACTAATCTGATGTACCTATTAAAGTCTACTTTAAGCTTTAAATCAATAATCTTCAAAACTACTGAACTGAAGCTCATGTATTTTACATCATTATAAAGAGAATTGAAAGACCTTTAAAATAAGGTATCACTCGACCCCCCTTTCCATTTAAGATTTTAGGGTTGGTGTCACCCCCGCCCAGGCGGCTGCACGTGCTAACGTGATTTCTTGCCAAACTTGTGTCCCCCTCGAAAACAAAACTGACGGGTCTGAGCGTCTTTCTAAAAAAAGCTGATCTGCCAGTAAATACGTCTGTTTCATTTTCGATGCGCCACCCTGTACATGTTCGTAGCGAGCTTGTACCGGACATAACCTGTTATGAACTGATGACAGGATTGCGCGGGAAATGCGAGTCAGCCTTCTTGACGCCATTTTTTATTTCGTAAGTGGCGAAGATAATGATCAAAGTTTTAACAATGCATCTAGTTTATTTTCTGACATATTTTTATCAGAAGCGGCGCGGCGTGACGATTGGTCTCCGTTTAATGACACGTGAAAAGTGGCTATTTTAAAGACATGAATGTTAAACGCATTTAGGACTCTATTGCCAGAAGAAAGGTTATTCGTTCGCTGACGATCGAACACCCTATTATTATCGGCCTTTATACCCAAATTAAACTGAGAACATTGCCAGATTTACGAGTTATATGCGCTTCTGCTATTTAAACTACTGGCCAAATGGCAATGGCAATGTTTAACTGGATCTTTAGTCACTAAATAATTGTTTGACAAACTACCGCCATTTAGGCAGATATTTACAAAATGTGGCTCCATAATTCGAGCTTTCAAAACAGTAATGTCCATGAGACCAAATTCGAAAGAATTGCAGCCGATACGTTTTGTATTTTGTGAGAGAGATGGCTGGTTGTTTTGACATAAAATTTGATATAAACGAAAAACCAAGCAGGTGTTGTGGCCGCGAGGATTTTCAAATTTCACATACATAAACATGCTCTGCTTTCGTCCGCCCGACCAAAGACAGTCAACCATGGACAGCTGTTTCGTGCTTTTTGGCTACTCCTTAGCAGAGTATCTCGGACAACTAACCAAAACATAGAAAATATACACTGTCAAAACTGTGAGGTCTATCGAAGCGCGATCTACCATTTGAATCGACCACTGCAAACAGTGAATCGCAGCCCACTGGTTGGGTCTGTTCAGATCTCAGTCCGTGAATGGACGTACAGTCACCACGTGACCGCTCGGTGGCGACGATTCTAGATGTGTAGCTACTTACCATTGACTAAAATAAATATGCTATGCTTTCATCCATCAGATCAAATAGCCAACTGTGGACAGCTGTTTCGAGCTTCTTTGCTATTCCTCAGGATGGTCTAGGTTTCAGTCTCTCGGCGCCATTCAGCTGTCACGTGCTGACTGAGCTTGCAATTCCCGATCAATTTTTTTATAAAGGTCAAAATTCGTAGAAGCTCCTTATTCTACTGTCCACCACTTTCTTCAATGTCTGATCTTACGGGGTAGTGAGTACT